CCTAAGCTTAACAAGATCAGTTCAAGTTAGCTAAACGACACATACGTTGCGAGGCTTCAGTGGTGGATCTGGCCCCACTCGTGCGCAGGAGATCATTACAGGCGTCCGGATGGGCTGGGCTAAAGGCATACGCTCTGACAACCAGTCTCGCATGGCCACTGCCTCCTCTGTGTCCTCTCTGACTGCCGCCTGAAGACGCTCTAGATTTGGTCGGCAGCATGCAAAAGCCAACGGGTTGAATTTGAGCGAAGACCGGAACGTGGCCCCCACTCTTCCAGCTGCCCAGTGGTGTTTTCAGTGGCTGCGCAGGAAAGCCACAACAAACCAGAACCCCAAAAGCGGCAAGCCTGGAGCTTGGGGCCCAGGCCCCCAGGGCTTAGCCCCAAAGCAAAATCTCCTGGAAGAGCTGGGAGGGGACCCCACGGAAATGCAGCCACCACCCCCTACCCCTCCCCGCTGCGTTTTCAAGGGAGAAAGGATCAGGGTTTTCACCCTCTCCTGAAACCATCCGACACGGCCCCCAAGGTCGGCGGATATGCCCAGTCTAGGCGCGGAGTCGTCCTAAGGCCTTGCTGAAGGAATGAAACATCCATTCAAAATCCCCATACAAGTCGCCCCACTCCACCCTGATATCTTCCCACTTGCAAAGTGAGCCAAGTATACAAAGAATGCGTAGGCATCTCGTCTACATATTCTCGACTCGACATCCATGAAGGCATTTGTGAGACAAACATCTTCCGCGATCTCCACTCTACACACTTCTCCTTGCGACCTCCCCCTGAATCATCCTGCAAGATAAACATGCCCCCTCCAGACCCCTAGGGCTTAATTTTGCTGAGTCCTGGAGAGGGAGGTCCCTAAATGCCATCTCCACCCTCAGACCCCGACGCCTTCATGAGAACCTGCTGGAAGCCCCCTGAGCCCAGAACCTTATCCTATATACCCTAAAGAGAGAATATTGTTCATCCCCCGCTACAGTAGTAATAATCCCCCCACGTCCCCTCATAATCAACGTCCCCTTGTAGTGCCAGGATATCTTGGTGGGAATATTTATTACTAGGGGGTGGGAGGGTGCGTAGATCATGGTTTAGTATTACCGGGTTGCTCTTCAGGATTTTGATTTTAAGATTCAGTTACTATAGTAAGGAAGCCCAACCGTTTCCTATATACCCATATCAGGGTAACTTGGTTTAAGTTCCTCAACAGCAACCCAGATTAGGGGGAGCCTGTAGCTGAGGCAGTGGGAGGAAGGAAGACAAGTCGACATAGCCATTGCAGCTGCTGCCGCACAGATGCAGAGACGATTAAGGTTTTGACGTAGGGTTTATACACAGTTTCGAGTGTGTTGTTTATTCACTTTTTGTTTTGTTTTCGTTGTTTGGGGTTCAAGGTTTAGATTTAACCGCTTGGGCGGTTCAGCCACATGGCAGCTTCTCAAAGTATGGGATCTTCACAGGTCCGTTTGATGATGTTGTTTAATGTGCGGGGTATGTCATGGGACTCCATTCTTCACACTTTCACTCATGGCCTTCTAAGACTTTCCGAAACATGCACAAATACTTGCTATTGCCACAACTATGATTATTGCTATCAGGATTACTATTGCTATTTGTAGCACTAACCATCATAGTGAGGCGGGGATGGCAGCATCAACGCTGATTCCACTTCTAGGTGTTGCTGGGCTGCATTACGCTTACGACATGCGCTTCGTGCTTACCGACTAGTACTGTTTCCATGAGGATGACTATGACTATGGTCATCACTGTTACTACGATCTGTACTCACCATGACGGTCCCTCAGCCCACCTAGAATTTGCAGACGTGCTCGAATCGATCTGCACTAGATGCTCTGGCTGTTGTGAGATGTTGATGGTCATTTGTCCGCACTATCCCAGGATGGATTAATGATCACCCCAAACCCTAAACCCTTAATGTCTCACCCCAAACCCTAAGCCCAAAACC